TTCAGGAGGAAGGAGTAAAACCACGCCTGGCCCAAAGCCACCTGCAGCTGCGGGGAGCGCCTTTACAGTGTATGCACATGCCGGACACCCCAAGCCCCACAGCCGCGTTGGGGCGGTGTGGCCGCTGGTGACCTACCCTTGATGCTGGCGCAAAATGGCAGCTGAGGACGGTGTTCCCATGAGGAGCGCCTTGGGCCGGATGCCGGCAGCGGCACGCGCGGCTGGGATCGCTGCTGGGCTTTGAAACGCAGCAGTTGGCGCATGCAGCATTATGGGCGGTTTGGTGGTGGTCACTGCAGGGCGCTGCGGGGTGGCAGGAGGGGCCCTAGAAAAGGTGCAAGGCAAGTGCTTTCATTTGAAGGCTTACACCGTCATGCCTCTGTTAAGATAGCCTACCTGGTACCGCTGGCAATCCTTGGCACTTCGGGGGAGCGTGTGTCAGCAGGTGAGATGAAGAGAGATGCCCATGCTTAGATATCTTATTTATGGCTCGATTTCAGTCCTTGAAGAAATTTAAGCTGTGCCTTTTCAGGAATATAGGAAGGGTGCTAATAAGTTTCTTGTGCTCTTCTTTATCACCCTTGCAAGCATTATGAGTATTAAGACTCTAGTACAGGTCCTTTGTTATTCACATGACTACCTACCTACTAGTCAAAACTGAGCAATTAAAGATGATGACAGGGTATAGATACGCACCCCAACTGAAGAGTAAGTAGTAACTGAAGAAGTAGTCCAAAGAATCACAGAATTGCAGACTGGTTGAGGTTGGAAGGGACCTCTGGAGGTCATCTGGTCCAACCCGTCTGATCAAGCAGGGTCACCCAGAGCCGGTTGCCCAGGACCATGTCCAGATGGCTTCTGAATACCTCCAAGGATGGAGACTCCACCACCTCCCTGGGCAGCCTGTGCCAGTGCTCTGTCACCCTCACAGTGACAAAGTGTTTCCTGATGTTCAGAGGGAACCTCCTGTGTGTCAGTTTGTGCCCACCGCCTCTGGTCCTGTCACTGGGCACCACTGGAAAGAGCCTGGCTCCTTCCTCTTTGCACCCTCCCTGCAGGTGTTTATATATTATTGATGAGATCCCCCTGAGCCTTCTCATCCGCAGGCTGAACAGTCCCAGCTCTCTCAGCCTTTCCTCATGGGAGAGATGCTTTCTTGTCCCTTCGTCATTCTCGTGGCCCTTTGTTGGACTCTCTCCAGTACGTCCATGTCTGTGTGGCCTCACCAGTGCTGAGTAGAGGGGAAGGATCACCTCCCTGGACCTGTTGGCCATACTTTGCCTAATGCAGCCCAGGATGTCATTCACCTTCTTTGCAGCAAGGGCACATTGCTGGCTCATGTTCAACTCGGTGTTCACCAGGACCCCCAGGTCCTTTTCTGCAATCCATCATCTTCCTCAAGACAATGTCCTATACCTGCTTTTTCACCATAATAAACAGGAAAGTCTGTTAGGAAGGGGATTCCTTTCTAACCTGAAATGGCAAATGGATTTTGTCATGAAAGGATTTAAAAACTAAACAAACCCTCAAATGCAAACTGATGAACGAAGAACATTCCACCTCCAAATTTCCCCAATATGGGAAATTATGTTTGAGCTGAGACAATTTTTGTAGACCTGTTTTAAAATCAAATTGCTTACTTTTAAAAATACCAAAATCGGGGAAGTGCTCCTTGACCAACAACAAAAAAAAGCTTTTAGAGCATACCAGTAATTTATAAAACATCACGTGCATAAAAATGCGTGAATCATAGTTATAGGCAATGCTGGTAATGTTGTATGTGAGTAGGAATTACTAATATTTTCCAGTATGCGTACCCATGGCTTTGACAAACTTTCTCTGTGATGTTATTGGGCATGGTTTGTGTCTGTCTCAGATGAAAGTTTTGAGAAATTTTTAGCCAGCACATCTCAGCTGTGTCTAGCTTGTTGCTTTGCCAAGTTATTGAAAGAAAACAATAGAATAGCCACTGTTGGTGATTGTCCTCCCCCCCCCAGCTCCTTTGTATTGTTAGGGTGGAGCAAAAGAGCATCATTCCTTCTGGTTTCCATGTTAAAAACAAACAATCTAAACAAAAAAACTAGGTTTTTCAGTGTTAAGCTTGAAAGTGTGACAGAGAAATGCTCCCCCCACCCCTATGCACACACCTGTTTGCACATGCTTGTTGGAGATTTTTCAGATGTTCGTGGTTGAACAGGCTGTAAATTCTATGGTTCCCTTGTGTGGCTGGATTGCACATACATCCGTGCTCCTGTACTGACTGGTTACACTCCTTTCCCCACAACCAGGAGGGGAAAAGTCACAGGAAGAACCTGAGAGATAATCAGGTGTCCCACTGGCTTCCAGATCAGATGGAAGAAAAGATCATGTGACATGAGGATAGAAGGAAAAAAGCTGGAAAAAAAGAGAGGAATGCTTGGGACAAGCTCTCATGAGACAAGGGCTAAGATGGGAAAGCATCTAAGCCTAGGACAAGCTGAGCAAAAAAAAAAGCTTGGCCTCAATTTTGGTGGAAGAGGATAAATTTAAGACGAGGTGAAAGATAAGTATATGAGGGTGGGAAACTGTGTTACTTGTCAGTACACCATAGGACCTGATAAAAATCTGGTGAGAAGGAAGAAGGAATAGATTTTGCTGGATAAAGAGACAGCATTCAGAAAGAACGGACAAAGTGCTGCATAGCAGCTCATTAGGGCAATACTGGCGCCCTGACTGAGGTGCAAGTCCTACGGAAAATAAGCCTGTGATCATGCAATTAAAAAATTACATCACAATGCATGTGATGCATTTGCAGAAGTCAAATTACCATTGCACATTATAGAACTTCCTACTTTTAATGACTGAGTAATAGCATTATTTTAGTAGGAGCTTGTCTGTAACTTAAGTAAAAAGACACTTCAAAACACCAAATACTAAGAAGTAGCTTTGAAATATAGTTAGGATTTACATGGCAGTAACAGAAACCGCTACCCCTGTAAGTGGACTGTGTTAAGTGTAAACTTCTAAAGCACTTAATTAGCCATTTCCACTTAAGCTATATAATAATTTTGGAAATGTGCACAGTGAGTCCAACCATTAAATTAATAAAA